TGAGCTGAAGAGCTGAGGGACAGTGTCCAGGCCCAGAGTTCAGGCCCCACGACTGGAACCAAAAAAGAAAAAAGAAGTAAGGCTGATTTTCCATGAGAAGGAGGAAGGCACACTAGCTAGCACAGGGCTGGCCTGCGGGCTCATGCAGGGAGGTCTCAAGGGCACTCCCAGCTTTTCTCAGAACCACCTCAGCAAAGACTACCATGTTTTCTGTGCAGTTTCAAACCTGTCCAGTAATTTCCCTCTTTCACTCCCCACTGAGCATGTAAGGAAACACACAGCTTCTGGGGAAAACGGGGTGTAAGCACAAGTACGTACAGATATGTGATCACTGTCAAAACTGTGGAGGAGCAAGCAAAGAGCTTAGGGAAGAGGCGGCCAAAGAAGGCCTCTGCTCAGGACAGGTTCTCTGAAGAGAAGTGCAGGTTCCCAGGTGACTTCTGGAAGCCACTAGAGATCGGCTGAGAGAGGCCAGGAGTTGTGCTCTGGACAGAAGTGTAACACGTGTCAGGCAGACAACCCCAAGTGCCTGGTTACAATCTTTGGAAGATGGTAGGGAAGATCCAATGTGGGCAAGCCAGATGTGTGGCTCAAGAGGACTCCCTGCAAACTCCCTACAGTGAGCTCACTCACTTCAGGAGTGGCAAAATTTCAACCTGACTGGCAAAGGGATTAAGAGGGAGAGCTCCAGAACCACAATGCCTGCCTGGTTCACCTCCTAGCTCTGCTGCCAAACAAGAAACAGGGCCAAAAGCAGACATTTGAAACAGCCTTCACAAAGACTCACTGACTCTGGAGTTCTGTCCATGCCTTGCCAAGACTGTTTCTCAATCTGATGGTTGAGATAGAGTGGATAAGTCTTACCAAGAAGTGTTTTGCTGACATGAGAAACAACTGGGCCCCGCTTACCCAGACTACAGCAAGGCTCAGAATTTCAAGCATCACCAAGTAAAGGTGTTAGTGGCCTTAGTGACGCCTGTAGAGCTGTTCTAAGTGGCATGGGGTCCATGCACCAGGCTTAGGTGAACCATGGATTCAGGACATGACTCAGGTTCCCAGGAACAGTGCACTGCTGTAAATGCCCTGGGTCAAAGTCTTCTGACAGCAGAGGGAAAGCATAAGCACCCACTGCTGAATGTCTCTGTGAGCCTCGGCTAAGTACCTTCAGTGTGACAGTGACAGATGTGCGTGCAGATTCCTGACTGCCCTTGCCCCAATGCTGTGCTGAGTGGCTACTGTGTGCCACACCACCTGTGACTGCCCTCTCCTCTCCCGTTTCCTTCACATCTAGCTCTCTCTGTGCTTCCATCCACAACTGCCATTGTTTTTTGGTGGGGGAAGAGGACCACACCACAACGATCATCCAGAATCAGCCCTCCCTGCCCCCAGCCCATTCCTTCTCATGGGAGCCCTCGGGGTTTGAGTCTTGAGGACAGGCACCTTAAGTAACCTACTTTGAAGAAAGAGGAATTAAAGACAGAGGAGTTGGGTCCCTGCCACCTTGGGTGTGTGCCCACGTGTCCCCTTTGTACAGCACACACTGCTGTTTCTCAGACTGGGGGGGGGGGGTTAAGAAGGGATGCAGACTGCAGCTCTTTCTAGGCAGGACGCTAGAGTCAGGGCTGTCTTTCATCTAATCCACTAAGAGCCCGAGAGGAACGTTAAGCCTCATGCCCAAAAAAGCCTTCAGACAAGAGACCTCTTCAGCTGAACAGCCACCATTTTACTCAAGTGCTACCTAAGTCAGATGTTACAAAAGTGGGTACTTAACGGTCCTTTTCTTTCTACTAAAAAACAAACAAACAAAAAACAAAAAAAAGCACATTATTTTGTGCTTAGATATATAGTATAGTATATTTTGCAACCAACTTTCTCCACATAAGATGTCTTCAAACTTTTAGGTTCCAATTAGAAGATACCATGAATCTATTTCAAATTTTCACCCATGGGGGAGTGATCTACAAAGTACATCATAGACCAAGAGAAAATTGGTACTTCAAACACCATTTTAGAACCCCTAGAGTCTAATATTTTTTACAATTATAAAATTCTAATTATGTATCCATTAATAATGGGCCAGTAAAAAAATTTTAGAGAAAGCTAATAAGCATAAATAAGCTCAATACTATCAATATTACACAGACTATGCCACATATAATACCAAAATTTGTATTCTAACAGAAAAGAATGTATTTCTGTTCCAGTTTAAAATAAGCAGTAGAATTCAACTGAGAAAGTATGAAAAAAGGTGATCCCCTCAGCTCTCCCACAATGCTGAGGGGCTCCACAAACTAAGAGCAGAAATTTACTTTAACCTGAAGAGAATAAAGAAAGAGCAGAGCAGAGATTTCCTATTACTCATAGTAAACTGGGGGCTACTGGCAACGTGAAGTCTTAAAAGCTATTACTGGTCTCCTGCTCCCAGATAAATCCTGGCATACATTTTCTACTTTAAAATATTTATGGCAAAGAAAGCAGACTGCCAAAGGTAGGTAATGTGCAGAAGAACCTGGACAAGACAAAATGAACAAGACCCATTTGAACAGCCAAGGCACAAAAGAAATTCAAATGGTCAGTAAGTACTAAGACTTCACTAATGAAGAAATACAAATGTACACAAAAGGGTATTTTCTACCTATGAAAGCAGCAAAAATTAAAGAGAACTACGGTAAAAAAAAAAAAATGAACATGACCAAAGTCTTCAAGGGCAATTTGGTTATCACATCTAAGTTTAACATGACAGGCCCTCCTCCTGGCAACCCTTTTTGACTTTTTCCTGGACAAATATCTAAGGCAGAAAGACTGTACAACTAGGTTTAGAAAAACCATTTCAAAGGACAAAATCTACTAAACACCTCAAGTATATAGATGGACCTGGTATTTAGGAAATGGTAAACTCTACTAAAACCTAAAGAACCCTATCCAGCGTGCGTCCACGGGGAGGAAGCAGAGATGATATGAGGGCTGAGTCTCTCCATATGCCTGCTTGTACACACATCTTTGAATATGTACAGGAAACTTCTGTGACTAGACATTGGATGGACTGAGTTTTTACTTTAAAGTATTCTCAGCATTGGATCTTGTGTTGTAAACAGATGCATTTGTAATTATTGTTAAGCAGGGTCTTCCTAGTAATGAGGTGCAACACATAACAACAATGAAATACACGTGTGTCCTCACAGAGGTTCATAAGCAAGCTGGGTTATGGTGATTGAAGCGTGAACTCTGCACTTACCTCTTTAGGTGATAGATTTTGTGTGTGTACTGTCCCTTTTCTCCATCCTTCTCATAAGGTTCATTCTTTAAGACCTCTATTCCTTCTCCACCACCGGTCTCATTCTTACTAGCTTCTGCAACCGAGTAGAGCTGTCCAACCTGATACTGGAAGTCAACAAGGGACACAGAAACTTCAGTCAGCCAGCAGGATCTGAAGAAATTGCCTAAGCTAGAATCTCACTATGAAAAAGTGAATCCAAACCACTCGGCACGTGTTCTAAGGGAAAACATGACTCAAATCAGAACATTTTAGAAGATAAATATACAGCGTTGAGTAGCTACATACACCGTACAAGATTTTCCTTATTCAAAAAAACGAATATTAAATACACTTGCTTTTATATGCAACCCACTTCTCAAGAAAATTGTGCTTCACATGGTTCAACCCTTGAACAACATACATTTGTGTATTTTTATTTTTTTGTCGGTCATGAGTCTTGAACTCAGGCCTGGTCACTGTCCCTTAGCTCTTCAGCTCAAGGCTACCGCTCTACTACTTGAGCCACAGAGCCACTTTGGCCTTTTCTGTTTATGTGGACCTGAGGAACTGAACCCAGGGCCTCATGCATGCTAGGCAAGCACTCTACCACTGAGCCACCTTCCCAGTCCTCAAGAAAATCGTGTGTCGCATTGTTCAACTCTTGGACAATATACATCTGTACTCTGAAGCATTTTCACCATTCTGTCTCATCTGACCACACAAACCCATCATCACTGTCCATTAGAGCAAACACCGAACACTGTTCTCAGCAGTAAACAGGACAAATAGAATGTGCAGTTAAAACCTGAAAAACCTAAAGAACCACGATTGTTGATATTTAGCAGGACTTTGGGGTCCTTTTTATTTTTTTCTTGTCACTTGTGTAGAACATGACCATTTGGTAGTTGTCCAGCTGAACAGAAACATGGACTGGCTAACTAGGACCAGAACTTTTAAACAAAGTTCTCTAGTAAACAAAAACTGTACAGAATTACAACTATATGAGTACTGCCATAAAAGGTAGGACACAGCAGACAGTCCTTTCTACTGTTATTCTAGTGAGGGCCAAAGTACAGTTCCTACAGGCCTACTCCTAGCCCAAGCCAGAGCACCTCTTCAGCCCCTTCCAATATCACTGAACTTCTTCCTTCCCATGCACACAATGGTCTTTGAAAGCTACTTTCAAAGAAAACTCACTGAAAACCTTCTAAGAACCCACCCATTTCACTAGAGAGAAAAAGCAAGAAGCAATCTTATCTAAAAAGCTCCTACAGATAGGATGCTAGAGCTAGCACGTAGGCACACTTAATTTTAAATTACAATCTTACTCATTTGGAAAGGCCTAGGCAGCAGAACCCAAACAGATGCCTTAAGCGGTCCAAAATTAAGTGTCCGCAGGGGCTTTAGACTCCCAGAAGGCTGCTGGCTTTGGTTCACCTTGAAACCACCACAACGATGAAATCCTTTAAATAAAGTTGGCCTTTCCACATGGCGATCTTTAAAAATTTTAAAGTGGGATTACAGTGTCTCCCAGTCAGAAGGTACATGTGGTCCAGACTGGGAACATAGTAACCCAAACCCACACAGCCACCATGAAGCAACTAGATTAAAAAAAAAAAAAAAAGAATGAACCCATCCCTTGTAGCTGGCTTTCTTGTTCTCATGTGAAGAGTAACTTCAACAGAGGGGGTGTGCTCATTTCCTCTGACTGTAACAAAGCTTGGGAAGATTATGACTGACAAATACCAAGACTCACAGATTTCAACAAAATGATTCAGCCAGCTGAAACCCTAAGGTTTCAATAGTCAAGTTCCGCGTGTAAGTTGGAACTATCAATTGTGCAAATAAAGCAGAGGTATCTGGCTTGCCTTGAAAACCTATAGCTGGGCTCCCATCTACACGCACCAGCGCCAGACAGCTACTCTGCTTCCTGCACTTTTTTTTTCTGTTTTCCGTCATCTGTCACTTCTCTCGGTTATCAGTTTGTTTTGTCCCAGTTCCAACTCACTGCTTCTAATCTACTGTCAGCTCTGGGAGACCAGACAAATGAGTAAGAAAGAACTGTGTGCAAGTTCAGAAAGGCCCAGAGGGGTTCATGTACTTTGTTACACCCGTCTTGGCCTCTTAGCTTTCTTGCTCTTATCTTCCTTTCTGGCTGTCCTATAGGTAGCAGCAACTGCAGGTCAGAAGTTCTCCATAGCTGATATGTTCTTATATCAATGCAGATCAAAGACAATGAGCAATTAAATCTTAAAATTAGAGCATGTCTGGAATTGTTTTCAGACCCAAGCAACAACTACAATACATGCACTCACAAGAGCAACAGTCTACAAGGTCAGGTTATCTAACCTTGTGCCCAATTCAAAATGGAACAAAAGGTCTTAGAGGTGGGATGGGGTGGCAGGGAGAGCTACACAAACCTCAAAGAGCTGCCCACAGGGCAGGCTTCAATCCTAATGGGAATGGGCTGACAGCAATAGCCACGTGTTAAAGGAAAGGTCTGGGGTGACAGTGGATGGCTGTTTAAAATGCTCCAGGCAGGAGCCACCTCACCTGCAAAGTGCCTACGTGCATGCTGCGGGAAGAGGGCATTCCTGCACTAGTGATGGCACTGCCTTGTTCCAGCACAAGACATCTGCTCACAACAGACCACCTGCTAGGGACCTCAGCTCCCTTCATTATATACACAGAAAAGAAAACGTGAATAAGGGCTGGGATGGAGTGTGGAGGTACAATACTTGCATTGATTCCTCAACACCTCACCCAAAACAGAAAGAAAATAAAGGGGGCAAAAGTACTTGTGTAAAGGTACTCTATGAATGGTATGAAAACATGAATTCAAATGAACATATCAAAATAAACTATACATATAAAATGACAGAGAAGAGTACTTACCTCCTGAACAGAACATGGCAAAACCACCCGGCTAAAAAGAAAAAAGGACAGACGTCAGATACCTGCACTTAACACTTTAAAATCCAAAGACATCCTAGCAGGACTCCCTAATCTAAAAACACAAGAATATCTGTTCTGGAAGAGGGTCTTTGAACCTAAACAGGTATTTTCTACCTGTACAAATAATACCATTCTTCGGATGGCAGCCATCTTTAGTACCAAGTGTCCTCATTGTACCATGACCCAAAGAGACAGTGCAGCAATTCTTGGGAATGGTAAAGAAACAAGGAAAATCTCATTGAAACTGGAGGGTACCAAGTATATTCTTTGTAGACTGTCTGGTCAGGATGTCCTTATGTAATCTTCAGTACTGTTCACTCCTGTTCTATATGCTTTGCAGCTTGATTTCACAGCACGTCTCAAGGAACATGCATCTTGATTTTGAAGAAAGAATGCTTCAAGAAACTTCCACAGGGCTGGGAATGTGGCTTAGTGGTAGAGTGCTTGCTTAGCATGCATGAAGTCCTGGGTTCCATTTCCTCAGTACCACATAAGCAGAAAAGGTGGGAGGTGGCAGCAGTGGCTCAAGTGGTAGAGTGCTAGCCTTGAGCAAAAGAAGCTCAGGGAAGGGAAGCTAAGGGAAGGGAAGAAAAGAAAACTTCTATAGCTACTCAAGGATTCTTTAATATTAATGAGGAAAACTTTTATTGAGAAAACTACCCATAGGGTGCCGGTGACTCATGCCTGTAATCAATCCTAGCTACTCATGAGGCTGAGATCTGAAGTTCATGGTTGTAAGTCAGCCCAGGCAGGGAAGTCTGTGAGACTCTTATCTTCAATTACCCACCAGAAAGCTAGCAGTGGAGCTATGGTTCAAGTGGCAGAATGCCAGCCTTGAACAAAAAAGCTCAGGAACAGCATTTAGGCCCTGAGTTCAAGCCCTAGGACTAGCACAAAAAAACCCAACCAACTAAACACCCACCCTCCCACCCCCCCAAATGGAAACTACCTTGAACGTTATAAATACAATAACCTCTTCTAGCATAGAGCAAACGTAAGAGCTTGTTATTGAACACACCAAAATACTATCTTTAGAGCTCCATTTTACCTACAATATAGTACTGAAGAATTTAAAAATACATTATGGTGCAGTATTTTATATCTGAACACTGCATTTTATCTCCAGATTCCTTATTTCTACCAACAATTCATCAAAGCAAGGCCATCCCTATTTACCAATTTATCTCACAACAATGGGTACTTTCTGAGATAAACTTCCAGACCCCCAACTCCTTTGAGACTTTGAGAGAGGGCATATGGGGGAAGAAGGGGAGAACAACCCCACCCCAATTCACACGTCTTCATTTTATAGGAAATTTCTACATGTTTCACTTATTCTGGTTTCTCTTCAACTGCAGTTAGTTGTTTATTTTGTTACTCACTAGTGACAATCTTTTAAGCCTAAGCATTCTTGATTATATCTGTTATAAAAAGTAGAGGAGCAGGGCCAGGAATGTGGCTTAGTGCTTGCCTAGCATGCTGGAAGCCCTGGGTTCGATTCCTCAGTACCACATAAACAGAAAAAGCCCTAAGTGGCACTGTGGCTCAAGTGATAGAGCACTAGCATTGAGAACAAAGAGGCTCAGGGACAGCACCTAGGCCCAGAAGAAAATATATATATATAGGAGTAATATAAATAACCAAGAACAGTACATCTAGCTTGCACTCCAGCGGCATTTTCCAGATCCTCTCTCCATATTCTGGAGAAATACCCAGCAAACATCCACACTTTTCACATTCATTACTCTAACCTTCATGTGTAACAAACACGCTCCTATTCCTCCCCTACCTCACCACACACTCGTCTCTGTGAATATGGTGTCTAAGAACCAGAAACATTCTCCAAGGCAGCACGGTTACTAATTTCAGTTCTCATCAAGAACAAACTTGTGTGTGCCTCCATGACTAAATTCCCACATGGCATCTCCCGGGCGGTCCCCTCGGGGCACGTGCTGGCTTGGCTACGTCTCAGTAAACAGGACACACTGGAGGAGGGGGGGACTGAAAGGTCCCCGGCTGGAGGTGGGCCTGAAACCCCATGGTAGGAATTTTCATTAACTGGGTGACGAGAAGTCCTGGGAGGTTGTTCTCAGACACAGATGACATAACTACAGCAGACCTGGGCAAGCCATCCATACGAGGCTGAGAATGCTAAGGAAAGAAGTACTCTGGGTCTGCGAAGGGAGATGAATAAAAGACCCCAACCAAGATGTGGGATGGAGAGAAGGTGTGGGGTGCAGGGAAGAAAGTCCTCTCTGAACGTTCATAAACCCAGAGACTCCAGGTGGGTCGTCTGACAACCATTCCTGGAAGATCCCCACTTTTGCTTACCACTACTTTGAGAAGACCTTGTTTCATGAACAAGGAGTGACTAAGACATCCAGCTTCAGGAATTTGCTTACTAAAAAGTAAACGGGATAAGGAACAGGCCAGGCTCTAGTGTCCCATTATTAGTCTAAGAGTTTTAAAGATTGACAAACTTCTTTGAAATTTTTCATGGAAGTCCTTTTGTAAATGGAACCAGTCACTTTTTTCTTTCTTGGTGGTACTTGGGGTTCAAACTCAGGGCAGGGCACTTGTCAGGCAGGTGCTTGACCATCAATGAATTCTTTAAAACCAGGACTTTACCCAGGGGCAACTTTGCCCATTGCTTAAATACTAGACTGGAGGGGAACCGGAACCTGCCCACATGGTAAGTCATTTCTGACCTTTAAACTTCATTAAAAATAGATGAAATTTTGCAAGACAACAAACATTTGGCAAAGTATTTTGTTTACCAACATCTTCACACAGAATGTCCTATCTGTTGCTTCTGAATAAAAGTAATTTTAGAAAGCTATTTGGAGATTTTTTTTTTCATTCAACAGCACTGAGCCAGATCAGATCCTGTACTAGATATTGGCCATACTTAGATAACAGCCTCAAACCTTTAAAAATAAATTTTAAAAAGTTGCAGGCTGACAGAAATCTAGAGATATACACAAGGTATAAACATCAAGATTAATGTAAGACATTTAAAAAATAAGTCAGGAGCTGGTGGCTCATGCCTGTAATCCTAGCTACTCAGGAGGCTGAGATCTTAGCATTGAGGTTCAAAGCCAGCCCAAGCAGAAAAGTCTGTGAGACTCTTATCTCCAATAAACTACCAGAAAACTGGAAGTGGCGCTGTGGCTCAAGTGGTAGAGCACTTACCTTGAGCTGAAGAGTTGAGCGCCAGTGCCCAGGCCCAGAATTCAAGCTCCACAACCAATAAAATAATAATAATAACAATTACTCTGGGCACATTTCAACATTTGTTATCTCAGTGCAAAATATCTAGGGAAAAGCAGCTGTACAGATTTCCAAAGGTGACAATTTTCCCATGGGCTTGCTTGCTACCACTCACCAATCAACGCTATCCACTGAGCACTTAGCCACATTTTGAAGGAAGTAATTCTAATAAAAGAAGAATGATGGTAGAGTGCTATCTTCAAGCATAGAGAGGCTCAGGAACAATGCCCAAGAGCTGGGTTCAAGCCCCAGGACGCCCCCCCCCACACACAAATCCCTTGAAATCCTTGCTACTTGGGGGGCTGAGATCTGAGGATCACACTTCAAAGCCAGCTCAGGCAGGAAAGTCTGTGAGACTCTTATCTCCTCAATTAACCATCAGAAAACCAGAAGTGACGCTTTGGCTCAAGTGGTAGAGTGCTTGCCTTGAGCTGCAGAGCTAGGGACAACACCCAGGCACAAAGTTCAAGCCCCAGGACCACCACCACCAACAACAAAAGCAGAAAGAAAGAAAGAAAGAAAGAAAGAAAGAAAGAAAGAAAGAAAGAAAGAAAGAAAGAAAGAAAGAAAGGAAGGAAGGAAGGAAGGGAGGAAGGAAGAAAGGAAGAAAGAAAGAAAGAAAGAAGGAAGGAAGGAGAGAAAAAGAAAGAGAGAGAAAGGGAGAGAAGGAGGGAGGGGAGAAGGGAAGAAGGAAGGAAGAAAAAGAAAAGATGACAGATTATCTAATGTGCAATCTGACTTGAGCCAAGTCAATTTCCTTTGGACTCATATTCCACTTCTGGATTGTTATCTGCCACTACCTACAATGGATGTACATTAGAACAATAAGAGAGATAACACTTAACCATAGGTACATGTTTATAACCAACTCCTGAGAAATATAAATTTCATATAAGTGGAAAGTTTAGTACTACAAATGAGCTTTAATTGTAAACCTGTCATCTGCAATAAAAGGCAAAAATGTCTTTTTCTTGGGATCCCTGTCACTGTAAAAAGTTGTCATTTTTCATCAATTCATTTCACAAATGTTTGCTGAGCTCCTATTAAGTGCTAGGGACTATTCTAGAAGCTGGGGATAGGAGCATGCACAAAAGGGACACATTTCTGGAGACCAAATGAAGAGAACACAAGCATGAAGGGCACGGAAATTCCTTCCTGGAAACTGTCACTGGACCACAGACTTGGAAGTGAATTGGCGAGCAGAGGCACCTGAGGCGGAAGGAAGCAGCCATGCAAGCAGAGAGGTCTGAACTGGCTTATCTTCCAGACAGTGGAGAACTCGCAAGGAATTCTGCGGGGCCCAGGGGGACCAAGGAAAAGTAGGAAATGGCATCAGTACCAGAGCAGAAAAGAAGACCGTGCAGGGCCTGTGAGTGGCTATAATCACTTCCGACTTTCATTCTCCTGAGAAAGTCTTTGGAAGGTCTGATGCACACAAAGGCTAAGTTTAAAAAGATTTAGCAATACACACACACACACAATAACGTGTCTGGAGACTGTTACATTGTCTTTTAAAAAAATATTTTTTTAGTGTGTTTAAGAATTTGAAAAGACAGGTGCACTGGTGGCTCCCACCTGTAAATCCTAGCTACTCAGGAGGCTTGAGACCTGAGGGTTGTGGTTCGAAGCCGGCCTGTACAGGAAAAGTCGGTGAAGAGTTTGCTCCAATTAACCACTAAACTAGCCCAGAGTGGTACCAATGGCAGAGCGCTAGACAGGAGCAGAAAAAGCTCAGAGACAGTGCCCTGTGGCCCTGCGTTCAAGCCCGGATACTGGCACAGAGTTACGTATGTGAATTAACTTGAAAAAAAAGTTAATTTCGGACAAAACATGAAGAAAGAAAGAAAAAAACTCATAAAAAGAACGAGCCAGACCAGAAATCCCTATCTGCCCAGGGGCTAGGAGAGGAGCCCGCCGCCTACCCGGGCGCGCGGCCGCGCCGGGGGCCTCGACCCGGGTCCGGAAAAGCCACAACTTTCCGAAACCCCATCTGGCCGGCCGGACGCACCCGGTGTCCGGACCCCCGAGAGCAGCGGGCGCCCCAGGTATCATCCGATCTTAAAGCGCCGAGATTGAGCACCGCCAAACTGGCTCGCTCTGCTCCTCAAACCCGGAGAGTCCCGGCCCCGGCAGGCACTTCAGGACACCCCCCCGACGTCCCGACACCTGGGCAGCCGGCACCGGGCCTGCCCACCTCCATCCCGGGAGACCGCCCCGTCTCCGCACGCGGGCGCGGCCGCGCCGTCCCGGCCCCCCGGCTCCGGGCCCCGGGGTGGGCCCAGACCAGCATGGGGGTGGGGGGCTGGGAAAGGCGGGTCCCAGTGGAAACTCCCGGCCGCGCCTTTCCGATCCACCAGCCAGGGGCCGCGATCCCGGGGCCCGGGTCGCCGGGGGGGGGGGTGGTAAGCGGCCGTGTTGCCACGGCAACGCCTAAGGGTCCGGGGCAAGGGGGAGGGAGAGCCGGGTCCGGGCCTCGGGCGGGCCGGGGGCTTGTGCCGGTGGGGAGAAGAGCGCTCACGGGGAGCGGCCGGCCCGGCCCTTTCTCGGCTCTGGGAATAGTGCCCAACGTCTGGATCCATGAGTCGCCCGCCGCCGCCGCCCCAGATCGTCGCCCGTCCCCACCGAGACACTTACAATTCTTTAATCAGCACCATCTTCCCGGAACCCCCCTTCACAGCTGCCGCTGCCGCCGCCGCCGCTACCGCTTCTCACGGCGCCTGCGCGGCCCCGCCTTCTTACCTTCCGAGCCGCCACTGCGCCTGCGCGTCTACACCCTTCCGCCGCCGCCCGTCACGTCAGCGCTCCGTGTAAGGTAGCTCCGCCCATTCCCACGCCCCATCCTCGGCACACGAGGTCTCCAGTGCGGCTGCGCGGTCGGCGGAAGCCCGTGAGGCTTGTACTGCGGCTGCGCAGACTCCGGCGCGCACGCTCTGTGGCTTCCGGCGGCTCCTCCCTTCAGCCTGGGCCCCTCGGGGCGCCGTGCAGCCTACGCTTTCCGGTGAGTTTTCGAGTTCCTCCTCTGGAAGGCGGTTGGTGGTGTTCGGAGTTCTCGTTCCCCGTTTCTGGCTTGGAGGCACCCCCGCCAGCTTGAGCGACACCTCACGTCCAGAGTGCAACTGGGAGAGACTTCTGGTTCTGGAGGCGCGGGGTCGTGGAATGTCCTAGAAACCCAGAGAACCCCTGCTCTAAGCCTCGTGGCGGCGGTGCCTGTCCTCGGTGCTCCCCCCGAGCTGACCTTCGCGCACAGCAGATGCGGTTGCGTTAGACGTGGCCGCGGGGCCCCGCCGGTGCGCGGCTCGGGGCGGGGGGCGGGGAGGGAGGGCGTCGGGCGCGGGGGGCTCCGGGCCCAGCCTGGCACTCGTCGGTGGGCCCCGACCCGGATCGGAACTCCCTGGACATCTTTTCGTGCGGCCGCTGGGACGGCGGGATTTCACGTCTGCACGTTCTTCCGGGTCGGGGCGCGGGGGTCTGGCTGTACACGGCCTCCTGGACGGCGCTCTTGTCAATCCCATGTTGTCCACCCCACCATTCCGGGGTATTTCTTGACGAAGCATATTTCCATGAGAATTGGAAATATTCCCAGGAACGTTCATAACACAGCAAAGGCACAGGTCACACGTACTGTGTCACTGCGGGGAAGGGCAGGGTTGGATTTTTGCCATAGACAAACCTGGGCCTGAATCCTGGCTTCCAATTTAGGGTAGTAAGTATCTTCAAACTTTGACCTCCCAGAAACTAAATGTACACATCTAAAAAAGGAGATGCCTACGGTCCACCAGAGACGTAAGGAATATGTTTTAGATAACAGACTTTTGGAGGCCGGGCGCCGGTGGCTCACGCCTGTAATCCTAGCTACTCCGGAGGCTGAGATCTGAGGATCGCTGTTCAAAGCCAGCTCGGGCAGGAAAGTCCGTAAAACTCTTATCTCCCATAAACCACCAGAAAACCGGAATTGGTGCGGTGGCTCAAGTGGTAGAGTTCCTGCCTTGAGCTGAAGAGTTGAGGGCCAGTGCCCAGGCCCAAAGTTCAAGCCCATGACAGATTGAAAAAAAAAAAGAAAGAATGAAACATTTGGAAGATAGAGCTTAAGAAAGGGTTAAGAGATAAAACCCTTACTTAGGCATCAATTACTTTTCCCTATAATCCTAGCTATTCAAGAGGATCTCTCTTTGGAGACTCTTCATCTCCAATTACCTAGCAAAAAGCTGGAACAGAAGGGATGACTCAAGCAGTAGAGCTCCAACCGTAAGCAAAAAAATAAAATTTTTGTAAAAAAGCTAAGGGCCAGAATTCAAAGCTTTAGTACCTGCCAAAAACAGACAAAAATGATGTGAAATATTTAAAGTACCTGAGTTTCACATTATCTGATACATTGTAGATGTTCAGTGAATGATAAATGTAGAAGCATCCAGAGAATGGGAACCATAATTCATGCTAAAATTAATGTTCCTGGGGATTTCCCACTATCTTTAATCACAGTTCATTAATTGGATGCATAAAGAATGCTTGTATATAGATAGACGTCTGTGAGTGTGTGTATTCCCATTGGCAGTAAGTAATCACCCTTTTCCTGTAATGGTATTGCAAGCATTATGCCCACCTTTGGTCCTCAGCTCCACCCAGACTTGAGCTCCTCCCTGTCCTGGGTTCCTGCCAAAACAGCTGGCCGCTCTCTCTCCACCCAGACCCACCTCACTTCCTGTCCCCCAGACACTGTGGCTACCTAGATAGCAGAGGCTGCCCAGCGCTCTCTCCGGGGCAGATATGGCTCCTCTAATAAATGGTGTAATAATCTTTCTCCTGTGCCTGTCTGCCTCTGCGTGGTCCCCTGGCATGGATGTGAAGGATCCTTTCAGGTATGATTACCATTCTTGTCAGTTTTAATTTTTTTCCAGTTTCTTGGTTTGAAAATACCACTTCATGGTAGGCACTCTGGCTCAGGCCTGTAATCCTAGCTATTTAGGAAGATCACCGTTTGAGGCAAGCTCAGGCAAAGAGTTCTTGAAACCTTTTAGTATATGCTGCGGGTCACTCAAGCCATGCAGAGGAGAGGATCAAAGTTTCAGGCCAATTTGGACAAAAGTTCATGAGACACTCCCCCTTCCCCCCTCCCCCTCAGTAGAAATAGTTGGGAAGATGGCATGTGCCTATCATCCATTTGCTACTGAGAAGCATAGCAAGAGGATCATGCTCCAAGCCTGCTCAGGCAAAAAGTGAGACCCCCATCACAAAAACCAGAGCAAAAACAGCTGGAGGCATGGCTTGAGTGGTAGAGCACTTGCCTTGCAAATGCAAAGCCCTTAATTCAAGCTTCACTACTACCCAAATAAGTAAATAAGATGCCATCTCCTGTGTCTGCTTTGCTGAAGAGCATCTTAGGTTCCCTCCATAACTTTTTTTTCTTTACTAATTTTTTTTTCCTTTTTGATTGTTAGATGTGTGTGTGGTTGTGCCCACACTCAGAGACATTCTGGATTTGAATTCTCTGTTGATTCTGTGTACTTTAAAACCTCACCCTTCTGAGGACTAATGTCCTCAGAAGCCTGCATGGTGACACATGCCTGTAATCCCAACAGTCAGGTGGGGAAGGCAGGGGAATTACAAATTTGAAGTCAGCAAGTTCTAGGACAGACTGAACTATGAGATCCTACCTCAAAAAATAAATCTTGAACTCTAAATCACTAGTGAAAGGTAACAGCTGGTCACAAGCCGTGGGGTAATGTAAAGATCACTAAGGCACTGAGGGAAAACACTTTTAACTTTCCAACCAGCCCTCAGGGCCACCAAGTTCAAGGATGGTTCTCATGACCCCTCCTACCTAAGGATTAAGGATACAGACCTCATTTTCAAGCTACAATGGGTTAAAGAATAGTTGTGTGTGTTTGGGTGGGTCCTGGGCTTTAATTTACGGCCTGGGCACTGTCCCTAAGCTTTTATGCTCGAGGCTAGTACTCTTACCACTTGAGCCACACATACACTTCTAGCTTTTTTGTTTGGTCCATTGCTGGTCTTGAACTCAAGGCCCGGGTACTCTCCCTGAGCTCTTTTGCTCAAGGCTAGTACCCTACTACTTTGAGCCACAGGGCCACTTCTGGTTTTCTAACGGTTAATTGTTGATGAGTCTTATGGGACTCTTCTGCCCAGGCTGGCTTCAAACCATGATCCTCAGATCTCAGCCTTATGTCCTTATATTCTTCCATAAGGCTGTTACTCATCTGGACCTAAGGGAACTTCCTGCCCTGCCATCACTTTAGCTAAGAGGCAAAATGGAGCAGAGAAGTGGGCTTCAGTAACTGGAATCTCCAAAATTGGGGCAAAGCTAACTCTTCTACCCTTCACTTGGGGTGTGGCTATGTTCAGATCCCCTTAAGAATCATAGAGGAACATCACTAGATACTTGCTTTTTAGGAGTTCTGTAGCTATCACCAGCAGTAAATCTTTTGTTAGTTTTTGTTTTGTTTTTGACAGTCCTGAGGCTTTTGCTGAAGGCTAGCACTCTACCACTTGAGCCACAGTGCCACTTCTGGCTTTTTCTGTTTATGTGGTACTAAGAAATCAAACCCAGGGCTTCCTGCATGCTAGACAGGCACACTACCACTAAGCCACATTCCCAGCCTCTGTGAGTCTTTATTAGAAGGACAGTAACTGCAGGTGGACTCTTGTCACAAGAATACACTGGAATACACTTAACACTGATAGAAAACTATTTGAATATAGTAAAGCAAAGACAAAGCAGAAAAACAATACCAACATGTAAGGTCTTCCCATGCCTTGCAGGCCCTATGCAGCACCTCCCTACCTCTTGTCTAAGTCTCCACCCAGTATCTATTATCCAGGAAACTGGCACACCTGGAAGCAGTCACTTCACCCTCCTGCTAGGTTACATCCTGAGTGGCCTTAGGTCACGAGCCTCCCATCTGACCATAGGAGTGTCCCAGGCCCTGCAGTCATATCCAGATCCAGTGTGGCCACACCTTTCCCCCACCTGGCTACACCTCTTCCTGTCCCTGGCCTAGATAAGTCCTGGCCCTGGGTGGGTTGTGGGTTCCCCCCTTCCCTTCCCTTCTCCACCATGCACAGCGGGGGCAGCAGTTCGGTAAATAAACTTCTTTTCCTGCCTGAATAGCGTGTGGTGTTCTCTTCATCGGCTACCGAATGAAACCTACCTTACACAACAAACCATGTCAACTCCAATGGAGAGCTGAAGTGGGGTGCCATGGTGACTGGATCAGAGCTAGGAGGTACAAGGTGTGGCGCAATAGTGCCTGAGCTGGTCTGGCTCTAAATAGGGTCAGCATCAGGGTGCTGGGTCACAGGAAACTCTAGAATCTCATGAGTTCGAAGCACAGGACTGACAGTTCCAGTAACCTGTTGTCCAAGTCCCCATCCCAGCCTCTACTGTGTAGACAAGATGGCGATGCCCTGCCATCCACCATGTGGCCAAGATGGCACCAGTTGGACGCAGTATCCTTGCTTCATTATCAGAGATTAAGATTGCAATAGAGGGCTGGGAAGGTGGCTTAGTGGTAGAGTGCTTGCCCTGCATGCATGAAGCCCTGGGTTCAGTTCCTCAGTACCACATAAACAGAAAAAGCTGAAAATGGAGCTGTGGCTCAAGTGGTAGACTGCTAACATTTAGCAAAAGAAACTCAGGGAGTTCAAGCCCAAAGACTAAAATAGAGACTGTGTTGTAACATCCCAGCTCTC